AAACACAATAAGGAATCAACATGCTTCCAATTAGTTAAAAAGTAATATTTTTCGATATTGACATAATGCAAATCTTTTCACTAAAAGCTAATGGAAATGTCACAAGATTTAAATTATTCACTTACAGTTACTAGTTTTACTCCAGATAATGAAGCACCAATGCATAGGCCAATAGACATGGCACCACATCCAACATACAAGTCTAGCAAATGCTTCTCAAAATTCCCAAGGGTGTTATTTTTTAACCCTCTCACTTGAAATAGTCGATGTATCACTATCTCGTTTATCAATTACTGAGTTAATAAAGCAAATAACATCAATTAATTGAACAAGAAAATGACAAATTCCATATTGTAGGAGCAAAATAAATTATCTGTGATTATGTTTGTAAAAGTCAGCTATGACAATGTGTATTTCATATCATAATACAAGTCAGAGGAAGAAATATTTTCCTCATTTGCCTTTAAGTTCATCTGCATTGTCAATCGAACTAGTTATGACCTTTTATGTTGATATGAATGCAACAATTGGACTAGAAAATGGAGAGAATAATTAAATGAAGCACAATGCAATCCTCTTACACTTAGGGCAACCACAACAATGTTTACTTTAGACACAATACAATAGTGGATTGTCGTCTTTAACATTTGAGGGAAACACTCTTCTTTTTTCAACAAGATTTGCATGGTCCTTAATGACCTAGAAATGACAAAAAATTGCAAGTTGGGTGAAAAATATGGAATAATTAGAATATTCGTATTGTGTCTTTAGCTCTATAAAACCATATCTTTATGATCAGTGATGAAATATGCCATATAAAGAGCTTAACAACAAAGACAATATAACAAATATGACATGTGGCCAGTCTTTTCCAAATGAATTGTGGAATGCCGTAAAATACACTCCGAGTTTCTTCACTTTGTTAGGATCACCATAACAAACAACTAATAGCCTCTCCACTTCAAAATCCTCATCAGAAACATATGAGAGGCTTTATCGTTTTCTTGTTCCTCTTTGCTAACTGAGTTCAAACTCTGCTCTGCCTCTATATCTAAACCAAAAAAAGAGAATTGCTAGCACAACTTTTCCCATTCCTTCAACAAAGATAAATTTTTTTTCCACTACTACATTCCTCACCTGCTCATCCAAAAAATGATGAGATGTCAAACTTAACCAAACAAATCTTCAACAGATGAACAAGTTAGAGTACCAATTTAAAAGGACACTATACTTGTGTCTTGGGATGATTGTATTTCAAACTTTTACATGCATCATTATTTATGTTAACAACCCACCTCTACATCGAACCACTGTTTTAAAAGCCGGACCGGACCGGCCGGTCCAACCGGTTGGACCGGGAACCGGCCACGTGTCCGGTCCGGGTTACCCTCAAAACCGTTAATAAGTNAAGCTCAAGTTGATCACTTCATATTCTTTTAAGAAATTAGTCTATGCTTCTCCCTTTCAAAAGGATATTCCATCAACTTCCTCCACTGAACTGCTGGAGCTAACACTTGGCAATCCAAGTTGTTTGATGATTTAATTTGTAGGCCCTTGAAGAGACAGTTGGTGATATGCATCGACAATTGATCCAGCGTATGGCAGATCTCCATTCCTCCCTACATGCTAGGATGGACAAGCTTGAAGACTTAATGAAAAAGACAGAGGCTAACTTTGCTTCACCACCACTATCTCATGAGGAAGATCAAGTTGCTTCTCAAGCAACTCTAATCCTTCTAGTAGAAAATCCAAAAGCTACAGTCTCCCTAAGTCATGCTGCCTTTGACTTTTTGAATCAACTCAACCTCAAGCTTCATCATCATTTGGTTCTTGTGGAGGAAAAAGAGTCAAAACAAAAGCTGAAAGGGGAAAGACTCCTACCTGAAAGTCTAGTAGACATTGAAGGTTTGGTTCAAACCTCATGAATAAAGGGGGCCGGGGGGGGTGGTTAAGGTTTAATATTTTGCTCAGTTTTAAAACCGCTTGAGATTTTTTTTTTTTTTTTTTTTATGATGTTGGAGTATGGAGTATATTTTTGTTGTTGGTATATTGTTTAGAACTGCTTGTCTTTATGGAGAGTTCTGTTGATGTTGGAATGCAATGTGGATAAAAACTTGGGGGAAGTTATTTTTGTTGAGGGGGAGTTTATTTCTTTTTATGTTGAACAGATATTTGTTTATGTTGAACTGTTTTGCTTTTCCCGTATTTTGTTTTTAAGTTTGTTGTTACTTACATATATTTATGCTTTATAATTATGACGTTTTCATGAGATATGTTTTAGTGTTTGGTTATTCCTTTCTTGTCTCTATACTTTGAATGTTGATGTTATTTGAGATGGGTTTGTGTTGATCCTTTGATCAAGATTGTGCTTTGTTCATAAGTTTGATAAACAGAGAAACTGTAAGTATTTTTGTCAACTTATGAAGATGTGTGTGTACATTTACTTTTGATGTTTGCACATTTATTTGGTTATGCACAATCGTATTTGTAGTTTACACATGTTGTAACATATTGCATAAATGTGTGCGAATTTCCTCAGTATGAACTTATTGCAAATATTTGGGCACATTTAAGTCAATTATGTAAACATTTTTCCAATCAGACCCTTTAATACATGTGTCATGTTTTCATTGCTTGTTAAGATATTTTCCAATTCTGAAATATGTGTGAGTGATCCAATTACAGGTGTTTGATATTTCAGAAGTGGACTAGGAAAGTTGTTGTGCCTTTTTCAGATGTGGTCCAACAAAGTTGTTAAAAACTTTCCTTAAATAGCGTAACATGTGTAAGCCTTTGTCAACTGGATGTCTAAGGATTATATAATATCTTCTTCATCCTTGCATTTTTTTCTTGAACTTAAATACTTCATTTTGTTCTCTGATAGTTGTTAAAGAGTTTATTCTATGTTCAAGTTCCTTTTATGGTTTTATATTCAAAATATTTTGCTTATGTGTTGTTGTTGAGTGTTTGTTGGAACATGGTTCATTTGATGAAAGCTTGAAAGGAGTTCAATCTGTGGAGTTGAAAGTTGACTTTGACCTTGAAGCTTGAGTGGAGCTCGAGCTATCCAGGAGGTTTCTTAGATTCAAGCAAGTTGTAGCAAAACATTGGAGCAACCTGAGGGTGGAGTTAGAGTGTTGTGAAACAGTGAGTGTTTAACATTGGTTTACTTAATTTCAACCCTATAATTGACTTACAAATGTTTGCTATAGTGGATTTGCTTCATCTAGACATAGTCCCATGGATGTATGCTATTTAGCCGAATCATGTAAAAATCCTTGTGTGCTTCTTTATGTCTTTCATGGTATTGTGTTGATGATTGAATGGCCATTCCCACAAGCACTAATGAACTCAATCAACTTATTCCGCAAGAGTTTAATGAACTAGATTAGTCATAAACTTTCAGTTGTGCTTCTTAAATTTTTTTTTTTAATTTATCCTTCAAGTTGTTTTCAATCCACAGATTTTGAATCTACTCGATGTATTAGTGATGCGTGATTTCGGATGCATATTAGCAAATGCACTAATCGCATTAAATAATAAAGTGATGATCTAGAGTATCATTTCTACGAGGATAGTGTATTAATTACCGATTTATCTAGAACGAGTCCTAATTGAAGCACTAAAGATCAGAAAGATGCAATATTGACAATTAACTACAAATTAATTAATTATAGACACTTAATAATGAATTTAAAGCAAGACCCAATATCAACACAAATTCACAAATGATTCAAAACTCTATGGTGTTTGATTTCACCAAGATATTCTTACCCAATACATAGATTTTTCTACCCAAACTCCTAATTTCTTGATTGAAGACTAAATCCCCTATATTGTTTAGCACTCCTTCGCAGGTTATGCTACCCCACTCTTTCCTATTAACCTTATGTACCCAAAAATTGAAAGTTAATAGTTCAAAGTCTATTAAGCTTAATGGAATCCTATATAGATCATATCAATTGCATTTGTCTATCTCTAGTTTTTGCTCAACTTATGATGCTTATCACAAGATGCAAAAATCATGAATTACTTCTTAGTCTCACCATGAATCATCATATCAAATGCATGGTGGCCAATCATCCAAATGATTCAATAAACATAGAAATAAACACTCAATCAATGAAATTAGAACAAAAGAGTATATTAAATCACATGTATTGAGTAATTATATCAAGGCTACATCAAAATCCTAGGTAAACAATTAGTTCCTTATAGAAATGAAAATAAAGTTATACAAAGCGTTCATCATGGAAAAAAAGAGAGTAAAGAATGAGAAATTCTATCTTAGATGATGAATCTTTGCTTCTTCTTCTCTTCACGTTCCCTTGCCTCCCAAGTGAGTGAACTCTCTCAAAAATTTATCTTTCATCATTTATATAGTGTTTCCTTTTGTGGTTGAAAACCCTATAGTCCAAAACAATGCGTTTTATTTATTTATCCTTAAAATTGCAATTTCACCATGGCGAGAATTTATTTTCGTCATAGCGAAAGCTAGAAGCTCGTAATTCTAGAGAGATTCTTGCTGTAGCGAAATCAATCTTTTCTTTAATATGCCAAAAATGCTCTTTCTTGACTTAAACCCTTGAATCTTCATTTCCTGTGTCTTTTTTTTTCTGAATAAGTCTTCAAGAACACTTCCCTTCAACCCCATAACTTCTCAAATATTCAAATTTTGGATCCTTTCTAAGTTGAAAAGTTTAAAATCACCATTTTTGCTTCAAAAACCCTTTGGGACTGTAAAGTGGACAAATACAAGAAATTACTATTCAATTAAGTTCAAAATGCATGAGAAGTACTCTAAATCCTATTGAAATATGATGCAAAAACACATTTGAAAAATAGGATTATCAATTAGCTTGGTAATTATAAGGCTAGCAAGAACTATATGAGAACTTTCAACGTTAGTTATGAAAAGCAATTATTGTTACAACATAAAAATGCTATTATTTTAGACGTTACAACAATCCTAATTGAGATAACTAAGTTAAAAATTACTTCTATAGAATATCTGAGAAAAGTTTCTCCAGATTTTTGTACGAAGAACCATCTGGTCTAATGGCTTCTTCTGCCTTCGTTTTCCACTCCATGGCTCTCTTTTTCATTTGTTTACCCTTCTCTCCCTCCATTAACACTCTTACAAGCATCTCCACTTCCTCTCTTTTAACATTATCACCATTAATCTCCATCCCAACACCCCACTCGGTGCATGTAAACCTACAATTAGGCTGTTGATCAGCTATAAATGGCCAACAAACCATTGGCACACCAATGGATAAACTTTCAAGCGTGGAATTCCATCCCATATGACTTAAAAATCCTCCTATTGAAAAATGCTTTAGGACTTTTTCTTGTGGACACCAACTGGCTATCATTCCTCTTCCCTTAGTTTCCTCAAGAAACTCCGGTGGAAGAATTGATGAGTCTCCGGCAACAAGATCCGGCCTTATTATCCACAAAAAATGTTGCTTGCTATTAGCCAATCCCCAAGCGAGCTCAATGAGTTGTTCAGGATTCATTACTACGATACTTCCGAAATTTACATATATCACTGAGTTGGTTTCTTTTGAATCGAGCCATTCAATACATTCGGACTGATATTTCCACAGATTTGAATCCGTGTTCTTCAATTCTTCATTCGTGATGAGACGATCAGCAAGAAACTGAAGGGGGCCGATGGTGTAAATAGGAATCGGAAGCAGGGTTGAGAAGACATCCAAAACATCCTGTTCCAAGGCATCAAACGTGTTGAAAATGATGGAAGAAGCACTGAGATTCTCGAAGCTCTTGATGGCGAAACTGACCATGAAATCATTTGGATTTATGGTTCTAATGTAGTTTGGAAAATCCCTCAAACGCATGTTTTTCATCCCTGGAATGCAATCTAATTTGGTGTCCAGGTACCCATTTGTTAGATAGCTTTCATCTGTATGAGAAGTCAATCGACAGTGAAGAAAAAAAAAAAAAGAGAGAGAGAGAGAGAGAAAACAGTATCAGACTATCAGTATGTGAGCATAAGAATGATCATCTGTCTCACTAAAACGCCTTTATTTATTAAGGTAAAAGTTTAGATCAGAAAAGAATTCTAATCTTCTTCTTTATTTTTTTCATTTTTTTTTTTTTTTAACTGAGATTATTTAAGGTTTAAAAACATAATTCACTAATTAAACATATTATTTCTCACGTAAATTGCTTTTTTTTTTATTAAATAATATCGATATATCATTATTGCCTACATTGTTTCAATATTTTCTCTGGAAAAACAAAATCTAAAAAAGGAATTTATTTCAATTTTTACAAACTAAAATTTGTTTTTTTTTTTTTAAATTGGTAATAAAAGTTAATTATCACTTCAAAATATGAAAGCACGATAATTAAAGAAAATTGCAACTGTATTACATAAATTTATTATAAGTAAATATCTAATATTTAATGTTTTAAATTAAAAAGAATTGGTGGCTATGTTCATGTCGAAAGCTCTTCGCATGCATGAATAATATGATTTGACATAGATCAACTGAGGAAGCATTATACCTTTCAGAGGTATTAAACCTCTTTCCACAAGAAGCTTGAGCATTGCAAAGCACAGTGAGCCGCAGGCGCTGAATGTGAATAAGATTGCACCAGGAATTCCAAATTCTCGAGCAACATTAACGGTGAAAGACATCATGACATCTGAGATAATACAGGTCACTGGAGAAATTTGAGAAGATGATGAAGTGTCATTGAGTTTGTAAAAGAGTTCTCTAAATGGAGCTAAACAGTGCTTTGAGGTAGCCTCGCAAAGAGAAGGAATGTCTTGAGTAACATCAGCATCAGAAGAAGGAAGGCCATCGGGGATGGTTTCGAAGCGAAAACCCGGAAAATTCTTGAAGGAATCAAGGCATTTGGACTTGAGTAAACGTTTATGGTTGTACTCAGTGTTGATAAATGTAATGAGAGAGCCTTTGGAATACATGATTTTGGCTAGTTTGAGCATTGGGTTCATGTGACCTTGAGCAGGAAATGGGATGCAAACTGCATGAGGCCTTTTAGCTATTGAATGGTTACTCATCTTTCGTTGTCTATCAACCAAATAAATTTGCTATTGAAGAAAGAAGAGGCCGCTGAACCTTTTTTATACAATTTTCTCTCTGTCTCTGTGATTACACTTGAACCCTAAATAAATAAAAATGTCATTTATTATGGGCGTGGGCGGCCAACTTTTAATTTTTTTATAGTTTGAAATAAATAAATGACCACTGTTTTTCATAATCTGATTTCATCTTAACTTTTAGGGGTGAAACTCATGTCAAAATAGGATATAAATTATATCAAGTCTAAAACTAAAAAGGACCATTTTAACTAATTAATTGTATGATACAATTTGTATCAAGAGTCTGAAAGGCGATATATGAAATAATTACTTTATACATAATTAACTGTATCAGAAGTCTAAGAGGACACATGTCAATTTGCTTAACTTTTACAATTTTTTTTTTTTTTTTAATAAATATTGAACTAATTTCATTCAAATTCTGCCTAACAAATAGGGTTAACAAAAGCAATCGATCCCTTCATTTATTAAACATTTTGACCATATCAAATTATAATAACTTAATTTGGGATATTAATTCATAATTATTTATTAATTACAATACAAAGATTTAAAAAGGACTAAATTATGTGACATATAAAATAACTACCTTTTCTTCCACCATCATTAAATTGTAACATATATAAAAGATAAATTTTAAATAGTAGCAAATTATTCATGTGCATGCTATACTTTTAGTTTAATGTATTTGTTTAATATCTTCAATTGAAAAACAATTTGAATCTCTTTTTCTTTTCTATTTTTCTGCAATTAAAACAAAAGCATAAAGTAAATAGATAAATTAATCATGTTTATGACGTAAATGAAGATGGAGGGAAAAAATTAAAGTTAAGTTTGTTGGATCGAAATCAATTAATAAGAGAGAAAGATACAGGAAGTACTTTTAGCTTAGCAGCTAGGGTGTGATATGTCAAGCTTAAATCGATATCGTTTATAAAGGGAGTTCACATGGGTGACAAACTGCCTACCCTTGCAATAGGCTAGCGCCTCCCCCATTATGTTTTGGAATATCCAGCTAATAGTCACTGTTAGGCAGAACTTGACTGCCTAGATAATCCTTTTTTTTAAAAAAAAAAAAAAAGAGCAGATTAATTTGGTGGAGGTCCTTTTAGTTTGACTTTAATTTCAGTACGTATTTATTACTTTGACCCTGAAATTTTTGCAAAAAAAAAAAGAGCAGATTAATTTGGTGGAGGTCCTTTTAGTTTGACTTTAATTTCAGTACGTATTTATTACTTTGACCCTGAAATTTTTGCAATTTATAAAAAATATTTTTAATTTTTAAGAACACCCTTCTTTCTATATCAAAGTTAAAAACAGCCATCCCTTTATTTTATAAAGTTGATTTTTAAAATTGAAATCAAAAGGCAAAATCCTATACGCTCTATGGATTTCTTGTAAGCTGTCTAATACGGTCTACGTTAGACCAAAACATTGTTTTCCTTAATTTTGCTATGTTTTTGAAATTTGATTTTTATGCTAAGTTTTTTGCCTTCAATTTTGTCATTCTAACCACTTGGAACATTTCTTAAGCATGCATGATTTCACTAACTAGTTGGATGCTTTGCTCTCACATCTTTTCTCTACAAACTTTGCCCTTGGTCTTCTTTGGTTGACTTTAGTGATAACAATGCTACAGGATGCTCCTTGGAGTGAGCTCTTGTAAGGAGTTTTGTGGGTTAGCTTGCTACTACTCAGAAAAAAAAATGGTCAAAGTCCAAGAAGAAGGGTGCAGAATTCTACAATTAGGCCCAAGCTAGTTGGGGCCCTTTTTTATTTGTAATCCATTTTGCTGTAATTTTCTTATCTTTTTATTGATTTTCTAAGAAATACAAAAAGACTGCCAACAAAATAAAAACTTGATAACATTAGACATCACTGACTTAGACATTACTTTCTAAAGTGATGTCTTAAAAAAATTATAACTGTGAAAACTAAAGTCTTAATCATTTTTGGTACCTGTGGCATTCTTTTTTTTATGGAGTGGTATACCAGTTTCTGTTTGATGGAGAAGTTTTAAACTATTCACCAACGTATTATATTAATTGCATGTCCAAATTTTTTTTTTTTTATTTAATGTTGGAACAGCATGTTTTCTTTCTACTTGTTAAGGATTTTGTAACATAGTTAAGTTGATGAATTTAGCCCATTTTTCATGACTTGTTTGATGGAATGGTAAAACTTTCTTTTTGATAGAGTGGTTTTACACTATTTTCTAATGTGTTAATAAAAAAGCGGGATTTAAGGTTTTGGGTTTTGGGTGAAGACTCAACACAACCCAAAGGTGAGTCCATATAAAGAAGAATAAATCTAACAGCCAACAGCCCACACAAATTGTCCAAGCAATTGGCTCAAAAAAAACTACCCAAGCAAAATGGTCCGCATAACCTTGCATAGGGAACAGCCCACGTATCCATCACCCCGAACAACTTCATAAGAGCCCTATCCTCCATTATGATATCCAGCCCCAAAAAAAAATTCCAAGCCCAGCACCCATTAATCCCAATAAAACCAATTTGTAACTTCAAGAACCCAGAACGAGTTCCAACTCCAGTACTTCCTAGCACCCTTTTGGAATCCAGCCAACCTTCCATAGTCCCCAGCATAAGATTTAGGCCTTCTCCCCTCACTGTTGTCTTCCAATGGAGCTGATCAACGGCAGCCAAACCAAGCACAACATTCACCCAAAACCCATAAAACACCCTGCAGCAGTCCGCAAAAAATCTGCAGTTCTTGATTTGGTTATTGCACCAGATCATCCTCCCAAAATAAGAACCCCAGCCCCCCCACCTGTCATCTGGACTTCTCCTGATACCCCAACACATCCAAAACTAAATCATCCCAGTGAGGCAGTCAAAGACCCTCCCTGGCATCCCCTTCTTACTGCCGGTCCTCCAATAAAAAAAAAAATCACAAACACACCCATCTTCATGGCTATACACCTCATTATCCCCCCACACTTCAACACCACAAAGCAAACCTCCAAACACAACAATACAACAGTGCACACAAACATACTCAGAGTTGCACATACTGCAGCTTCTCAGATTACAAAATAAAGCATAATGCAAAACGGACAGGAAAGCATAGATAAAAAATTAAAGATCTATACCCACATCTACAGCAATGCACTCCCTTGGGAGATCCCAATCTGTTATTATATTACGGACTCTCACGTTATTTTTGAAAATCAGGGAGTGAAGCCGGGGCCTTACCTCTCCAAAAATCTGGATAACCAAAATATCACTACTCCTTGCTTTGTTCTTGAACAAGCGAGAAAAAGGGTTTCATTTCCTTTTACCCGGAAGTGCTTAATAAAAAAACCAATTTTTTTTTTATAATAAACTAAAAAATGCTTTAAAAATAACACTTTTTTATCCATAAACAATTATACGCTACAAAAAATAATAATTAATCATCAATGAAAAATGTTTATTAAATAAAATTCTCACCGATTAAGAGCAGTCTCTGCTGGAGCTCCATTCTTCTTCTAAAAGAAAAAAAAAAAAAAATCAGAAACTCCAAAGCAAAAACATTTCCGGAAAATATAAAAAATCAGTTTAACCTTGGAGGAGGATTTGCAAGTATATGAATATCTACTCGGCCATTTCTTCTGAGCTTCAGAAGCCGGAACGGGCGGGCCAACGAGGGAGAGTTCGGAGTCGGGTTTGTTCTTTTGGGTCTTCTTTTTCTCCCTGTTCAATAACACAACCCGATCGCTGTCCTGCTGCTTTGTTTTCTTGGACGGCGGTGATGCACTGGAAACCGGATCTTCATTCTCCTCCACCGGCTTCTCTCGGATGTTCCTTTTCGCGGGTCGACCCATTTTGGTTGATGGGTTCAGACAGACGAAAAGGGAAGAGAAACTGAGAAAGGTAAGGATAGGTTTTTTCTGGGTTTAAGAAACTTAAATGTGAGAGTTGATTTCGGTTTAAGGAACGGCGGTGACGCACTGATTGTTTTCTGGAATTTTTCAAAATAATTTTAATTTCCGAGATGGGCGGGAAAGTTTAGCGGCACCTTATGAAAATTTTAGGGGCTTAATGGTCATTTTACAATATAAAAATGTTTAGTTAAAAACTTGACTGTGAGATCGATCTCGCTTGACCCCCATATGTTTTAGGAAATTACAAAGTCACCTGCTGCTTTGGGATCAAGATTAACCAAATCCTCGTTCTGAGGGAAAATGATATTTTTACCCTTCTATATAAGTTTAACAACTTTTCGTTACCCCAAAACTTATGAAATTTTCAATTATTACCCAAAAACTTATCAAATCTTTACTTATCCACCACTACCAATAAACATTACAAACAACTATTACAAAACCCAAAAACAAAAATTCAACATACAACGATTCAAACTCTACAAACTAAATCCAAAATCATTACTTTTCTTTTTCTAGGAAACATTGTTGAGGTGGTAGTAAAGAAGTGGATTTGGGGCAAGGATTGGGGGTAGGGTTTAGCTCGTGAAGGCCTCATGATGATACTAAAGGCCACATCCAGCCTCTCAGCTAGAGCTGAGCATTTGGGACCAGGCCCAAAAGCCCAGCTCCAAAACCCGGTCCTAGGATCAGACCTTGAGAGGACCGGACCTAAGAGGCCTAGTCAGGAGGAGGGCCCGAGCCCTCCACGGGCCCTCCTCCAAGGCTCGGGCCTAAAATTTTTTGTATTTTTTCAATATAGTCTCCTGTCAAATTATATAAAACCCCCTGTTAATTTTAAAATAAATTAAATTATGAGGGCTAAAAAATTTTTTACAAAATTTATTAAAAAAAAAATCTTCCAGGTCTAAAAAATTTATAAATTTTACCCTTAAAAAATACTAAAAACCCCTATAAAATTTTGTTTTGCCCCCAAAATATAAAAAAAAAATTAAGGGGGGAAAATAAAATTATCCAAACCCCATGGGAACGGTCCTAGGCCGATGGGACCAGTCCCGACCAGGGCTAGGGC